ATGTAAAACTCCTTGAACCTTCCAACACATCTATATAGCTTCTTTATTTCTCAATATCCCCCCCCTCGTTTATTTTTTTTCTTTTCTTTTTTTTCTTTTCTTTCTTCTTTTTTTTCCTCTCTCTCTTAGTCTTACTTTCCCTTCTATACCTCTAGGACCTGCTCTAACCTCTTTTCTATCACTTCTAAACAATGCTTTTATATAACGGACACAATTTAGATGGAATTTAATTATACATAAACATAATTAATTATCAATTATACCTGGAAATATGCAGTTTTATTATAAATGAATATTTAATGAATTAATTGTAATGTGCGAGAGGAATAATGTTTATGTATGATATATTTGCATTGTTATAAATTTGGAAAAAAATAAAAAATTACAAAAAAAAAAAGATTATGTGAAATTGGGCATTGATCATGTTTGGCATGCTAAAAAGTACTTTACCGGTTTTGATATTACATAGAAATGATTCTGTAGACAGAATACATATGTGGAAAGTTTTTAAAACGTTTAAAATATAGACTACCATTGTAATCATATAAAGGCAAGTTGACAATGTTTGTTATATTTTAAATTTTGTGAAGATTTTGCATGTTTTTCGAATTAAAAGTATCTCTACGCTTAATTCATGTATACCAATATAACATATTTAGTATCAAAATAATAGAAATTTTATACACAGTACACTATCATTATTCATTCTTCTAAATAACGTTCGCCTGCGATATTTATCGGTCATTTTGTTAGGATACCCCGTCACTCAACCTGGTGTTATGCGAAAAGGTCCACTACAGTTATCAGTAGTAATTATGGATAATCATTTATGCAGTTATTGATCGTTTTTATGTATCTACATATGGCAAAGAATAAAAGAAATCAAAGTGGGGGCCAAATGTTGACCCCACCTTTGGTATAAATGGTGTGTCTAACCCCCCTGGAGGCAGAGAGGCGGGGCCCAATAGGGGAAATATAGGTAAACCCTTTAAAACTCTTCTTCTTCCATAGGGGTTAAGGGATTTTATCCTAATTTAGTCTTTAGCACCCTTGGGCCAAGGGAAATCCATTTAGTATAAGCAGTGGGTGTGGTCTCCAAGGGGACAAAAGGGCGGGACCCAATAGGGGAAATAGAGGTAAACCTATAAAATCCTTCTTCTACAATAGGGATGAAGAGATTTGTTCCCAACTTGGTCTGGAGGATCTTGGGCAAAAGGGACTCAATTTTGTATAAGCAGTGTGTGTGGCCCCCATAGGGGCAGAAGGGCGGGGCAAAATAGGGGAAACATAGCAAATTCTTCAAAATCCTTCTTCTTCTTCTGTACGAATGACAGGATTTTGTCCAAATTTGGTATGAAGCATCCTTTTGTGAAGGGGAACCAAATTTGTATAAACGGTGTGTCTAACCCCCCTGGAGGCAGAGAGGCGCGGCCAAATAGAGGAAATATGGGTAAAACCTTTAAAATCTTTCTTCTACCATAGGGATTACGGGATTTTATCCTAATTTAGTCTGGAGCATCCTTGGGCCAAGGGGACTAAATTTTGAATAAGCAGTGGATGTGGTCTCCCAGGGGGCAGAAGGGCGGGGCCCAATAGAGGAAATAGAGGTAAAACCTTTAAAATCTTTCTTCTACCATAGGGATTACGGGATTTTATCCTTATTTAGTCTTGAGCATCCTTGGGCCAAAGGGACTCAATTTTGTATAAACAGTGGGTATGACTAGTCGATAAGGAGATGACGTGAAGCCTAACGCACAATATCTGGGCCTTTTAGTGAGAACTAAACATACAATGTACATGGTACTACGCTGACGACCGACAACAGTGTTAGTGCGTCTATCGCAAGCTATAATCATAAGTATCATAAAAGTAATAATAATTGGAGCTTCTTATATACCACTTTTTCACAACCTAGTTCGTAGGTCGTCTCAAAGCGGTTCAAAAATTATTATCCGTGGTTAATTATAGGTCCTTTGCAACCAGCCAACATCTTTCTCAACTCCTGGGGAGCATGCAGCCGGTGCTGCCATTTCGGCGCACACAACTAGCATTGAAGCTAGCACTTACCAACCACGTTCTCATTTACAGCTGAGTAGACTGGAACAAGCGGAGTAAATTTTCTTGCTCAAACTTACAACACAGTGCCGTGCCGTGGCTCGAACCCGCAACCATTCGGTCACGAGCCCGGCGTCCTACCACTAGACCACTGTGCCTAATACGGTGGTCTATATTCATATTATATAAAACTAGCGAGATCTTTCTGTTCATAGTCGGATTTGAATAAAAAGAAACACGTTAAGTTAGAGTATGCACTCAAAAGGGTACTGCGGCTAAGAAGAATTACAAACGGTACAACGTACGATATCGGTGTTAAACGTCACTCGTCACATCTCGGCAGATTCCGTACCTACATCAAGGGTACTGGAATCAGCCGAGTTTAGCCGAATGGGTTAAACATAAGATACATTCCTCATATAACGATGATTGAGATGTTGTTAATACCAATGCCTGTATTCCAAAGAAGTTAGACGAATAAAGCGAGAATTGCGAGAAGGTATTCTGTTAGAAGTTCACCGACAGCTGCCGCTAAAACGTTTAGTTGTACAGTTAAAGATTTCTTCATTGCTGATAAGAACGCCAAGAAAAATATTCTGTTGTTAATTTGTTAATTCCCGACATGAATTGTTCATAAGAAGTATCGAACTATATCACAAAGAAGAATTCTTTGACAAGGTTATATGTGTGCCGATCAGATATATGGCAGTTTGTGTATATGCGGTTATTAATCTTCTGTGGCCAATGTGGCTTTTTGTACATATGTAAATATCCTGTTTATTATATGTTTATACTGATAAGTCGCAAGGCTTAAAGTAAATAAAGAAGATGAACTTGAACTTGTGTGTACCAGTCGATTTACTGGCGTATGCTCAAACTAACGAACCATGGATGCAGCACCGTGCCCCACCAAGTTACTTATATTGTGTCTGACGTAAGATGGAAGAATGATTTAACTCATATACAGAAATGTACTTGCATTAATGAGGAAGCTAGGGTTGCTCTACTTAAGTTTTGTTACAGGTGCTTAATATGACACACGTTTTACGTTTTTTAAAACTAAAAAAAAATCAAATGGTCTGATCATAACATTAGAGAAAAACAACTAGTCGCCCTTATCTTGTTAACTGCAAACTTTAAATTGTTATACTTTCATTGTGTTAGAGCTAGTGCTAATCAAATAACCTCATGATATGGCATACTCGATGCTCACTTTCTCTCTCTGTACCCCTGGAATATGTCATAGCAAAATAGAAGGCTCAGTGTGCACAACCTTGTGGGCGAGACGAGAAGACTTGTTTGATTCTTTGATGTACACCAAAAGAATGTATCGGTCGGGTAACAGTAAAAATGACTGGCTTTGAAGTTGGGTGTCACTCCTCTCTAATCCTCAAAGAACAGGGATCAGCCTAGCGATTGTTCAGGTTGTTTTAAAACAGATAGCTATATGCCTTCAATTCTGCTATGGCATCTTCCAGTGGTGCAGAGAGCGAATGTGAGCGTAGCAACCTGAGTATTGAGGATGATGAATTTGATCCATATTTCGCACTTCAGGGATACGGTTAGACAGTAGTCGTTCAATCCATCTATGAGGAAAATGTTGTCGTTAGTATCTGTATTACCATAAATGTTAAATGGGCAAAACCTAAAATAAAAGTTCAACTCAAAATGTATGTCATTCATCATTATGTAGCATTGTATCACTCTGTAAGTTTCACAAGTATGCTTCATTAGAAATTGGGCATGAAATCCTGACTTGTCTATCGAACGGTAATAAGACAATTGCCTGATAAAGATCACTGATGATTTATCTTTGTTTTCTTGTATTTTACAGATGAACACCTACCTTGTCGCCTCGTTCGCCATTGGAACTGTGCTGGCTGTTCAAATATTCTTTATATATCGATTCATATTTGATCTAAACATTTCACCATGTCCAATATGTCCAACACCGGAGACATTGGATATTTCCTCAGTTCCTGATGATGTATCTAAAATCCCCAGGCAAATATTTGATGTAGCTATGTATCTAAAAAGGGCCAGATTACATGCGAGAGGCTATAAAACACGAACAGCACTGAAATATGCATGTGAGCATATGGATACAATACTAAAGGGATTCAATACCTCTTTTGAAGAAGTCACACGACGGAAAGTAGACAAGCCAAGTAGTATTTGTCCGGAGTACTACGTTGATAAAATGAACGGTTATCAGATCAGGAATTGTTCCTTTTCTAAACCTCTCGAGGAGATTGTCACAATCGTTCGTCTTGATTACGGTTCACCAGCTGATAAAAAGTTTACCCGAGATACGTACGGCGAAAATATCCCGGTCGTAGTTGGTGACTACGGTGGGAAAGTTAAGGAGCAGAGAAATATACGTGTAAAGCACATGGAATCTACAACCACTGAGGGGAATGCTTTAAACATATTAATACAGGAAGTGAAAACCCAATATACTTTAATTGTTAGAAATGTAACGGAACTTGATTCGAATTCCCGGATCGAGAGACTTGTGCGAGAAATAGAGATTCTGACGGTTAACGCAGTCGGCGGGGCTATCAGAAACTCTGATAACTATTGGCATTTAGGTTGCCATCAAAGGGTGTTCCGAAACTACACATTAGTATACGAGGAGGGGTACGACGAGTCGATGCACGATTGTGTTTTTTGCGATCACGTTGATGGACCATTTCTTATGAGAACAGATAAGCTGAAGCAGGTAAGGTTTGACGGTAACTTGACTCCTATGGGACTGTACGAAGATTTTTTCATGAGGCTGAATTCTGACGTTGCGCTCTGTCCTGACGCCTTGTTCGATATGGATTTCCCACGCCGTAGTGATGTAACCGTTGAGTGGGAGAAGTTTGGAAGAAAACGAAATCTTTATAAATTAAAGTTTTCTTTTGGACTGGTTATACATTTTGGATGTAATTATGACTATCCATGTAAAAGGCGAAAAGGATATATCAGGTCACCGTGCTGTATTCAGGAATTGGCAGATGCAAACAATGAATTTATGGAAATGTGTGAAAATGTGGGTGCATCGTGCCAATTGAATGCGGGAACAAATCTAGGAGCTGTGAAGATGTATAAAGTGATTCCATGGGAGGCAGACGGAGATCTCAATTTTCATTGTAATGACTTCACAAAATTGAAAAAGGCTGGATTAAACCTGAGTTCCAAAGGCATAAGAGTGGGAGTGGAACATATCAGTCCATGCACTCCAAAAGCAATTCCCGCACAATTAGCCGCACACACCAGACATTGGCATGTTGATATCTGGTCACGTGATACAGTTGAATCCTTCACAGTGAGATCTGAACATCGTAATTTGACACGGATTCCACATAGTGGACGCATAGTATCGACAATGAGAAACCCAGCTTTATTTGCACGTACTATGTACCCCGAACTCTTTCTGCACCAACAGCATTTTAGTGAAGGTGGGAAAATAACCGTTTATAAATTTGCAAAGTGTCCTACTGTTAATAGTCATGATTGCATAGACCATTACTACGAAGACGGAAATATCCAATTTAACGACCCAGTAGCATAACAAATAGGGCGGAGCGAGTGTTGTTTATATGGAAACAAAAGTTGTAATAGTGAACCTAGTGCGTCGCACCATCCTTAAATTGATGACGTTATCCTAATATTGCAAAAAGATGATGTCGTTTTCAGAAAAATTACGCATGCTAGCTGTTTTTCCATTGTTAAGTGAAGACTTATAAAATCTTTCGCCCCCTTTGGGTTGAGATAGGGAAATTTCGAGTCTTTGCTGTATGTTGGCGACTTCGGAATCTTTCTCCCGAGGGAGTAGATATGTTCCGAGTGAGGCATATCTCCCTTGATCTGTGTTCTATGATACGAACGCCCCCTAAGTTATGGCTTCAACAGAGCGTGGTTGAAGCGTGAAATTGGTGTGTAAACAAACCAATAATACTGAGTTTTACTACATTTTATGTTTATCTTGTTGCTGTAGGTATATTACATATGGTGGAAGTAGTAGATGGTGTCACAGGACCCGATGTATTTATTTATTGCCATATTTTTTCATTTTCTGTAAGTGTATTCAACGTCAACCGGATGTTGTTTTTGAGATTCGAGTTTTTTTTTTGCTTACATTAGAATTAAGAATATCCATGGAAAGCTTAATTGATTAAATTTTGTATCGGGGTAATCTTATGGCGCTGAGTTATTATTAACTTGTGTTAATTTTGTTTCAAAAACAGCTAATGTTTGTATCACTTTGCGTCGGAAATGGCGTCATTTTCAGTGAAACCATGTTGTCATCTCGCTGTTTAGTTTTTCTTCCATCTTCAATAGGCCTTTATTCTACCATATTTCAAACGTGGGATATCAATGAATTAAAAAAAAAATGCAGGTGTTATTTGTGGTATGTCAGTGTTCTTGTTTTATTGGTCTGGAAACTGACCACTACAGTGCTGTGGCGGTACCCAATCTGGGACGGTACCCAATCGGGACACTTGTGGGAAAGGGTCTAATGAAAATAGCACGTAATACAAACAAGCAATTTTATTTTTGTAATTTTTAGTTAATGATACTCTGAACTGTATGCCGACTTATTTGACTGCCGAATCTGCGCGATTACAGGGGTGTAAAATTTAATATACTGAGTACTAGTCCACTACACATCCCTGTCAAAATCGTCGTCTGAAATGTCCGACTCACTATATTCTGTAAACTCTCTTCTAATACACAGCCCAGTAAACTTGGTTAATCGCAATTTGACATGAACCGGAAGCAAGTGCGAGTATAACCCGACACTAGCGCAGACAGGCCAGAGTAGGCCTTCGATGACTTCACGGTCCAGTGAACAAACACAAAAGCGACGATAAGTGTTCGCCAATGGACTCTGAGTTGCAAATCCCTCCACTACACATCCCTGTTCAAGTTAACAGACAAATATTTTGTCTGAAACTAGTTGAAGTCTTGCAATTTTCATTTTCATCAAGTATTACAAGTTGCAATATCTTAACAAATGCGTCAAACAAAATCGAAATTTTACAAAAAACACAATTTTCAAAATTTCTCCACTGAAAGTTACATGGTTATCTTCTATGACTTTGTATCACTATGAAACAGTCAATACTTCAAATGTAAACTCATTGGGAAAAAAAGTATTTGGGTAAAATATTCATTTTCTCAAATTTCATCATTTTCCCCATTCCTAAAGTGGAAAATGGTCAAATTCCCCTAGAAACAGAACATTCTGATATATCTTCAAACTTTACACTTATTCCACTTAACGGAAAAATATTTAGTCTGCAACTCGTTGAAATCTCGCAATTTTCATTTTTATCAAGTATTACAAGTTGCAATATCTTAACTAATGCCAAAAAAAAGTTACATGGTTATCTTATCTGACGTTGTTTAACTTTAAAATAGTGCAATACTGCAAATTTGCACCTATTGAAAAAAAGTGTATTTTGGTAAAATGTTCATTTTTCTTAAGTTTCACCATTTTCCCCATACCTAAGGAAGAAAATAGTCAACTTCCCCTACAAACAAAATATTCTGATATATCTTCAAAAAATCACATTTTATAAAAACTGGAAAATGTCAAATTATTCCTCAGAACATTACTTGGATATATCTTCTTTGAATTTGTATCACTATGAAAGAGTGTAATACTGCAAACTTGCACTTATTGAGAAAAAAAGTGTATCATTGATAAATGTTGATTTTTCTTAATTTTCCTCTAACCCCATTACTAAGGTCGAAAATTCCCTCAGGAACAATGTTTTTGATACAGGATATCTTCAAACAAAAACTGTTAATTGTCTTTTTTTTCCTTAGAAAAACACTTGGTTATCTTCTCTGACTTTGTATGACTTTAAAACGGTGCACTGATTGAAACAAAATTGATTGGATAAAAGTTTTTGTTTTTATTAAATATCAGCATTTTCAAGATTTCCTAAGGTAGAACATGAAACTGGTCGAGATTCCTACCCTTTACCCATGCATGCATAAAAGACAAACTGAATCACACTTTCTATATTGGTCCAGTGTCCGGCTCTCTGAATCCCTCCCAAGGGACTCCCTCCCTTGATCATAACCTGGAAAGAGTTGAGTTCCCTACCTAATAACCATATATGCAATTGCATTGTATGAACAGATGAATACAGGTATACTCATGCTCATGACTTAATCCAAGGTTCATAACATGCTGATGGAAATGGCTGAAATAACAAAGGCACCAGATTTCCTTTGTAACATCCTTGATACCAAAAAGAATGAGAACAATTTGGGATACATTAGCAATATTACTGTGAATGAGAAAACTTTGCCTTAATTGTTTAAATATCAAGGTGAACAATACAAGACTCTTGTTTCTTTATGCTTCATGAAAATAATATCGGGAAGTGCATAGCTGATAGCCACCTGTTTGTTATTCTATACTAGGTCAAGGTCACATTGAGGTCAAAGGTCATAATTGATGTCAGACTCATACATTTTGACCATTGAAGATATCATGATAAAATTTAAGGAACATATGTAGGATGGTAAAGCGGTGAATATGGTTCTACTTTAGGGTCAACACAGCCAAACCCATCGTCACATATAGGTCATAGGTCAAATTCAAACTCTGAGCCATGACTTTTGAACCTCTGAAGATATCTTGATAAAATTAAAGGAATAAATGTAGGATGATAAGGCGATGTGTCGCATACTACTCTAGGGTCACTACATCCTAGGTCATTGTCACATTGATTTCAAAGGTCAAATTCACTGTCTTGGCTAAAAGTTTTGACTAAGGGTAACTCAATGAAATTAAAGGAATAAATGTAGGATTGAAAGATGGCCTGTTGCAAACCACAATTGAGTCTGTACGTGGAAGGTTAAGGTCACATTGAGATCTTAGGTCAAATTCATTATCCATGCCATAACTTCTTACCCACTGAAGATTTCTCAATGCAATATAAGAGATATACATGTATGTAGGATGGCAGGACAGAGTATTGCAAACACTAATTGGGTCCATATCCCCAATGTCAGAGTTATATTCAGGTCAAAGGTCAAAAACATTGTGGGGGGGTCATAACTTTAGCTTGCTGAAGATAACTCAATTAAACTTAAGGGACTATGTATGATGGCAAGGCAGTGTGTGGCAAACACAATTGGGTCCATAGGCCCAAGTTCCAGTTGAGGTCAACGATCAAATTCATTGTCTTGGCCGTCATTTCTGTATTACGGAAGAGTGTCCGTCCAGGGGTCAGAGGGTCCTGGGTTCAAATCCTTGTCTGGCCGTGCATATCTCTTTATCTCCTTTTTCAAAACTTGGGGAGTTTTTTCCACCCTTGCTTCATTAAAGCACTGGGTTAATGCTTGACAAGGGGATATCCCAATATGGGTTTATGTAAAATAGTTGTTCTTGGTGGTGAAAGCATAGAAAGAGGAAGGAGGAATGTAGCTGAACTGGACTGGCCGGTCAATCGGCAGTGACCAGTTAATAGACTAGTATCAGTACGTTTGCCCACGTACACGTGTTTTGTAAACAACGCAATACTTGAATGGTCCCTAGATGATATACAGATTACAGCTCGTATGTAGCGAATTATACAGTCAAATGTCAGTTAATTTACTGCCCAAGAGTTACCAAATACCATCATAAGGTGTCCGACAATAATTCCCAACCGTGTATTCTTACCACTGAATTATTTCAAAAGATTCGTCTTATTCCAGCGAAGCGAAAGTAGTGCGTTGCCATGTTGTATATCACTTGGCTTGCGATCTGAACCGGTCACGTCATTCACGGGGTATATTACTGAAATATATCCAACATAAATAATTAACGGTTGAATACACAAATTAATACTATAATCCATATATTATTAAATTGTTATATTTGTAACTATTTACTAATAATCTAATGACATTTTTTAATATTTATTAGTCGCAATCCGTTAATTTAACTGCATTTTACATGACCAATACGTCGAAATAATAAAATAAAATAAAATAATAATAGTATTAAGCTGGCATTATTTTGTAATGTACCTGAAACTACAGAATAAAATGTTCTTGAACTTCTGATTACAAAGGTGCAAAAAAGCAACGTAAAAATGTATGTGTAAATCCGGAACCTTACACCCGGTAACCGCTTTCCAGAGAAGATGCCCCGAGTGTCAATTGCAATATCTACTACTTATTGGTGAGTGACTTGCAACTCATGATCACTCATACTAGAGTTTGTTCTATTATCGAGATATAGCAAGGATTCATTGGAGTCATCAAGATCAGTAACAGACTGAAAGTTTCTGTTCAAAATTACGCTTTTACCAATATCATCGGATACTACTTTATTATAGACGTATTATCAAACAAACGGGGCTATCTGTATTATTAACATTCTCATAATCTTCCAATAAGTTCTTTGACTATTTATTTATCACTGTTTTCTATGAAAACATCAATAGTGTCATAAAAATGCTCCCTCGCATACTTAATCATATTGCTAACCTTATTTCTGTCTTTTTTTATAATTTGCAAGGGACATCTCCGTTCTTTTACTGATAAATTTATATACTCTGCGCAATTTGTTTCTTATTTTTATAAGTTTTCTTGTATCACCATTCATCCAACATTTATCATTTGGTCTCACTGCTACATGTTTTGAGGGCATATGTTTTCCAAATTTCTTCAAGATATCATCAGCAAACATTTTACATTTACGTGTATTGTCAATACCAATTTCATTTCTAAACATTTCGCCCCCAGTTTGTAGCAGCTATCTCATCTTGCATAAGACCATAGTTTCCGCTTTAACGATTTAGATCGTTGAATCTTAACATATAACGATACAGGAACAGAAATACATTCATTAACAGGATTAACATAATATCATATTGAACTTCGATTGTATCACTAATGACAAATGGATCTATCAAACTTTGTGAAAGTTGTGCAACTCTAGTAAGGGTTGTAATGTCATTTTTGAGATTGTACTGATTTAATATATTACACAGCTGGTGTGTACGGTCGACATTTAAATCAGCTGTTAAAATTACGTTTAGGGTAATACCAAAGGCTAGATCTAATGAATATTTAAACGATCCCAGATACCTGATGCTGCATTTTGCCATGGGGGCCTATAAATACAACCCATAACATACTTTTCATTATCTAAGACTAATTCCACCCAATTTGTTTCATCATTCAATGCTTCTAAATCCACTCGTCGTTTGAAAATTAAAGTCCTCTATATACTCCTTATACGTACCAAGGCAAACACAACACAACACCTAAATAGCAAATAGCTGCTCGACCGATAGCACGGACGGAGTCGGCATTTATTCATAAATATAATATGAATATAATAAATAAGCATTAACAAAATAACTACTCTGACTTCATTTACCGTACACA